TAGTAAATATTTCTGAGATTCCTTTGCCATTCCTCTTCAAACTGTTTCATTTAGAATTTTATATCAGAGTCCTGGTACCATGAGGCATGGATTTCAAAACTGCTACTACTGATTACTAGTTTGAAACTGAAAGGTTTAAGTCTTACTAGTATAACTTTTAGATGTCTTGTTGAGTCATCTTAACAATTGGAAGCAGAAGTAGACTGGACCAGGTATTTAGCATGGAATAATATAATGCTCTCCTTTATCAACCTACAGGCGAGCAGAGTGTGATACAAGCTCACCCCTCAAGAGAAACGCTGATATCTGCAGTCAGTGCTATTGCTACATTTGTGATAAGCTAGCTTCTGAGGTAAGGAGGGATTGGAGATTTTTTTTTTTTAGGAAACATGGGTCTGCTTTGTCAAAATTGCCTTGTGAATTGTAATAGAAACCATTTATTTGGGGCCTGCTTAAAGCAATATATGATACTGCAAACGTAATCTTATGATACTGCGAATGATTGTCTTCTGAGCATTTGTTGGCTTCATAATGCCACTATGACTCTAGAAGAAGTAATTTCAGGTCTGGGCCAAGCAGGCCAGTAACTTGCTTGACCAGCTGCTTACCTGGTGTCAGTCGGCAGAGCTTGCCGATTCAGGCAGATTGGTGGTGATCAGTGCTGTGCACTCTGGTTAGTTCTTTTCCTAGGATTAGTGTGATATTAGGGATATTCAGATATCCTACTGTTCTGCAAAGTTAAAAACAGCTAAAAACCTGGAATTCTTTGAAAATATTTCAGCTCTTTACTCTGGTATTAGGAAATCTTTTAACTTAGTGTCACAGCTCCCATTTGTCATCATTTAATTTGGCAGGTATACATTTTCCTCCAGAATCACAAAGTGCTTTATCAGATGCCAGTTAACTGAGCCTCACAACATTGCTTTGAGATAGTTACAAGTATAAAGGCTTTATCTTTCAAAGACCAGGTACATGTTCTTGTATATCAGTCCACTGTTATGTAATCGCTTGGCTGAAATGATGTCTCCAGTTGTTGGCTGACACGCCTACTTCAGCTTTTAAAATGTGTTTTGTTTTTTTTTTTACTAAATGCATCAGGAACAAGCCACTGAAAGAACCATGCACTAAAGAAGAATTGGAGATAAAATTTTCATGCTCATAGCCTGTCACACCTTGGCTATTTTCTAGTGGTTCGTCTTCTGGCTGATGTGTGTCCGAGAAGTACTACTGCATCATTTTTATGCAGAGTATTTATTAAAGAGCCTTATATTAATGCCGTCCCTGATTTGGTTATGCAGTTGGTAAAACAACTAGAATTTGCGCCAGTAGAAAGCAGTAGCTCAGTATGGAATATAGCCAGCTATACAGGTATAATGAGACTAACTTCTCTGAGTCGGGGACTGTAACTTTTGCTTTGGTTAATTAAATTAAAAATCCTCTTCCTTTCTTCCCTTAGTGTCAGAACTGGACAGCCCCTTCCTTCTGTCATTCCAATGCACACAACAAAAGCAAATTCTGGAAGGAGCAGCGTGATTTTGCCTTGGTGGGTGTTCTTGTAATGTTCAACCTGGACCTCACAGACATAGATGCAGATCTTCGACGTGGAGGTAAAGGGTGTGCTCTCAAGTTGTCCCAGAATGAGACGTCTAATGAGAAGGTCATATTTGTTTCCAAGGCAAAAAAATGTCTACAATTTTTTTTTCCTCCTTCATCTCCAGGTAGTCTGCTGATAAAATTTATTCACAAACTGTCTGCGGAATATAACAAATACCTGCTTGGTGAAAGAATGCTTTCCAATAGACACGAATGTTTCTGTTACACAAAATTGGCACCTGGGCAATGCAATATCTGCTTGCAGCGCCAGACAGAGGTCATATACAGGTAACAGTGACTACAGAGGTTGATTAATTGGCTCACGCTGTATAGTAATTCACAGGGATTTCCCTCTGTTGGTCAGATAACAATCAGAATCATGCCAACCAGTGGTGGCAGAACCAATCTGTGGGGAAACTTGCTTTTCTGCTTGCAGTCTGTTTAGTTGGCCACTTGGACCCCATCACAATCCAGTTTAAACAAACACCTAAACTATCCTCTTAAAGGCTTTTATTTCTTGTAGATATTCTGCTGTTTTCACACTGGTAATGAATTTTTTAAATGAGGCAGACCAAGAGAATCCCAAAACTGCTGCAGTCATGCTTCTGGGAGCAGCCAAAGAAATTGCACTTCATAAGGATCCTTCTCTGTAAGTATTCAGTGCGTTATGTAGCACAAAGGGGAAGAGGAGTTGAGGGGAATGCTTGAAAAATCCTTCATTTCAGTGGAAGGGAAATTTATAACAGTTACAGCACTGTTTTTCAGCTTCTGTTACTTGGAATCACTCATGGCTTTCTTCTGTGACCTTGGGCAAGTCACTTTATCTTTCCATGCCCCATGTATAGAGTGAGCTTGCTACTGCATCTCCAATTCTAGTAGGAGTTTTGTTTCGTCAATTGAGACTAAGCCCATCAAAGCAGAGATGACTGCACTATGTAGCAGTTAGCACGATGGGTTCATTTCAGCTGAGAATTTGGTTCTGCTGTGATGCAAATTATTCTGTTTCCAGAAGGTGCTCTACACAGTGCTTCTTGTTAAAGCTCTGCAAATACATCTGAAATGTGCTGTAGCTAGTTTGTTAGCTCTCATCTGTTCACAGAAATTGTTTCCATCCTTTTGTTTCTTCTCTGCTTTAGTTTTAAAACTAATACGTTTTAAAAACTGTAAGTCCTAATCTATGTGTTTTGTATCAGAAGCTGGAGAAATCTAGGTCAGAATGGATCTCTGAAGGTAGCTGTACCTTGTCTGATGGAGAGGTAAGAAAGTACAGTGTGAATTAGATGTTTTGCAGGCTGCCAAGTTCACTGTTTTACTGCTACAAAGGCTAGCTTCAGGCACTAACGGGTTTTTAAAGGCCCCGGCTGTTGTAATCTCAATTTTCTAATGTGGGATTCCATAAAAGAGAACTTCTGCCGTAGCAAAGCTAAAGTAATATTATGCGTATCCTTATTGTATTGGGGTAGCACTACGCGAGGCAGGGCCCAGTCATTGTAGGTGCTGTACAAATACAGACCGCTTCTGTCCTGAGCACCTAAAATCCAAGTGTATGAGACACCGGGTTATGGGAAAGCACAAGAATATAACGAGGTTCACTGGTCAGAACAGTAGACAGTGGTCTCAGATCACAAATGGCATCCATCATGTTATGGGATTATACATAGGATAGAGCACCATGTCAGCAGTGTTTTGGGGGGGGTTAAAAAAAAAAGCTTCTACATTTCCAGCTGGATCATTGATGGCCAACCAACATAGACTCTGTGGTCTAAAACCCTAGGGACCCGTAGCCCAGAAAGGGTGTTGGAGTCTATTTTGCTTGAGTATGTGAGGGGCCAGACTTTTAAGACAGTGTCTAGGCTCTTAACTCTGCTTGGAAATGGTGATTGTAGAAGCACATGGTATCCACATTTGACTTTAATACAGCAGCCTGGTGACCATTCGCAAGGAGGAGCTCAGTCAGGGACGTAACGTACACAATTTCCCCCGGAGCCTGGTCGACATCTAGCACACTTTTTTTCTGCTCAACTCATTTCTCATTTTAGCTCTGTGGTTCACCTTTAATACCACATCCAGCAGTAGCAAAAGGTTAATGGAATACGATGATGGGAAATGGCTTTTGGGAACACATTAAAAAAAATCCTATTCCTCTCATTATTTCCCTATTTTTAAATCAATGGCAGGTCAAACCTATATCTTTGTCATTTTAAGTGTCTACTTTTATGTTAGGGAGACCATTCCTTACAAAGATAATGCCCTATTTTTATCAACTTTGAAAGAAGAGAGGAAGGGTATATTTGCCCCAAACTTCTTTCAGCTTCCCCGGGCATTTCAATGTGGGCTCCCATTTAAGTTAGTTCTGTTGCCATCAGATGTTTTAATGACTGCAGAGACTTGCAACTCTTCAGGTGAGTGTGGATTTCTAGATCACTCTAAATCTGTTTAACAAAGCTGTTTATTGTGATGGCGTTTGAAGCTAACCTTAAAGATCCTTAAAAGGATCTTGTCAATTTTAAAATATACTTTAAATATAAACCAGAAATCTCTTACAAATTTTAAGTCCAGTGCAATTAATGTTACCATTACCATTCTGTTTGTTTTTACATTTCACTTGGCACAGACAGTAAAAACCCGGTTAGTTGTTTTCATTTACAAGCAGTTTGACTACAAAAACCTATCTGGTTTATCCTATGTTGGCATGATGATGCACTACTTGCATTTCAAATATTCTATGAAGATTTAAATTTTTTTTAAAGCACACTTTCACTGGATTTTTTTTTTAAGAGTAATATTATGCTGATTGTAAGCCTTGTATATTAGGTTTTATATATAACCATATTTTGATCAAGAAACCTTATTTGAAATTTTTTTTTTTAGATGCTACAGGGGAGGAGTTATCAAACCAACAGTGCAGCTGGCTTTAAAAACGTTGGCTTATTTCCCTCCCTTTTGAAACTAACTTTCTTCTTGAATACAGAATTACAACACGGCTGCAAAGGATGCTGGTGCTATGTGACTTCCCAAACACTTTGCATCACAAGTTCATTCATTTTTTCCAGCGTATATCACTTCCTTGTCACTGCTATACCTTCTCAAATTGGTAAGTTTTGCTTGTTAATCACTCGTTAAAGGTATTGAAGTGTAAAGGCCAGTCTTTACATGGTCTGTATATTGGAACTTGTAATCTCTTGCTATGGACGTGGGTGCTTTAATAGAGAATTCGGCTGAAAACTTGAAACCCATCCCAGCTTTGCTGTGGTGCCCTTGGTATATTCTAGTCCATCAGCCTAATTTCTGAAGGGAGTTGCTGTAACCTTTGGAAATTCTATAGCAGGTTGTTCAAATTTTTGATCTAGAGCAAACAAATGCTCGCTTCAAGTGTTTTTCCACATTAAAGATGTCCTTGCTTTCAACTGTGAACTTTTTCAAAGAGCCCTATAGTAGCCTTGGGAATAACTTCTGTCTTTAACTTCCAGCCTAAATGTTATGCCATGGGATCACGGATTATTGACCACAGTCTTAAAAGGCCAGAACATCACAGGTCAAAGAACACACAAAGGGAGGAAAGTATCTTTGTGGGAAGCATTTCCTGTTATAAGGGCTCGTGTAGAAAGATTAGAAAACCAGCAACAGTAAGTTGTTATCCAGCTGTTAAGAATTTAAGTCCTGCATTATATTGACGTTGTACAGTGCAGTGCCTTTGAAAGACTTACGGTCACCATTGTGCTACCAAAAAGGGGCAAAACGGAGATTGATCAAAAGCCCAACAGGTCAGCGGTGTTTTCTAAATGTGCTCAGCACTCCAGCACCTGTCAAAGGAGCATCTTTTTTTTATTCAGATATGGAAAAAAGCCACTGCAGAGTTTCAGTCATTCTCCCTCTACTCTGTTGTCACCCTGGCTATCGGTAGATGTGTGGTTCAAAGCAATATCCCTTGAAAGGAATGTGACTGCTTTGCTTTGCTTTGTTTATCAAGGTCTTCATAAATGAATGATCGTGGTTCTGTTCCTTTTTCTTCTTTTCTTTCTTAGCTTTTTTTTCTTTTAATGATCTTTCTGGTTTGGACCCAAGTCTGTTGAGATGCACTCTCTCATTATAGTCTGTGAGAGCAGTAGAGAACATCTGAAAATTGCTTCCTATTGTAACCCTTAGTGTCTGGCTTGAGACTTTCTTTTTTAGCTTCTCCCTTTGATTCCCCCCCCTTTGGAAGTCTGTGGAAGAAGCATAGCATAGATGATATACAAATTATCAGTGATTTGTTATAAGAGGGAGAGAGAGAGAGTGTCCCTTGTCATCTGCCACCTTCATTTTCACTTCCCAGTGGGCGGGAATAATCTTTGCAGTTGCCAAATCCTGTTGGTCCCATTTAGGTTAAACGTAAGGGAAGTTTCACATAAGGGATATTAGAAGGGATTTGTATAATTTCTAAAGCTTTCAATTTCTCCAGTATTTTCTGGTACAGAGAAAATGGAAGTTTGTAGTGTTTACCCAGATGGCGTCCCCTGAAATTTCTCTTGCCAGAGTCACAGTGATGACTTTCTGGACTTAAATGTGCAATAACTTTGTTGTGGTGAGTGCGTTTTTATTCAGGTTTATCTGTAGCTTTTGGGTTTGTCAGGACACAACATGATCGCACATTTATTCACTGCCTGCTTCCATCTTTTGTAGACAAATGTGGGAGAACTTGTTCTATCTCATTAACTGTGATTGGTATTTGAATAGTGTGTGCCAAATTGTAATGCTTCCTTTTTTTCCCCTCTTCTTCTCCCTTAGCTATAAGGAAATAGTTCGCTACCTGAAAGCTGTGAAATGCAATGACACTCAAGGGTAAATGGCTTTTTTTAGTTTTTCTTTGCCTTTAGAATAGTCCCCATGCAGGCCTTAACCCTTAATAGAATCAAACCTTGAAAAGAAATAAGACTTCAGCTTGCAAACATTTTCCAGTAGTAAAACATGATATAGTATCACTGCTAACTTTTACTTAATATTACCTGGCCAATGTAATTAGATCAGAATTTTTTTGTAACACTTTTGTGTTAATGGCAACATTTGTCCAAATCATCTTTTTGACCTTTTCTTGTTTTCAGGTTAAAAATCTACAAAGACAGAATTCCATTCTACTTGTGCAAAATGGGGGACTTTGTTGATGCTGCCCGCTCACTCTTCCTCCCCTACAGTAACCTGGCATGCTGTACAGCCTGCCGTATAACCTCTGCCCAGTTTGAAGTCTACATGAAGATGTTCAAAACAGGCAGTGTTCCTTCTGGAAATGATCTTCGTGACTCAGGGCAGTGGACTGCCATTGGCAAGTATTGTTTCTTGTTACAGTTTTTGCTTCCATCCCCGCTCGAACACAGCGGCGTGCAGACTTTACGGGAAGTCTTTAACAGACTTTCAGCCCAGCCCCACGCATCCTCTGGACTAAAGCATGGAACTTAGTATTTGCCAAGACCGTTGTCATTTAGATTCTGGACTCAAGCTGAAACTACTCTTGCCATCTGCCATGTGCTGTTTTGCATACAAAGGCTAATATGTATTGGCAATGAAGCCATTTCATCCCATTAGGAGAAAATGTAGGGTATGAAGCCCTCTTGTAAACCATAGCACAAGTGCATGCCTCAACCTGCTGACAAGTTTATCGTGACCTTGAGTGAATACCTTTGAAATGGAATTCATAGTCTCTGTTGCATTTAATCATTGGTCTTGCTTGCAAGACTACTGCAGTAATGGGTTTGGGCACATTTGGAATTGTGCAGTAGGGAACTGATCTGAGACCCCCCTGGCTTATTTTACAGAAGCCCACTTAGCAGCTATTAGCAGTATCCCCAGGAGCATGTGGGATGGTGACAGCATGTCAGTACTGTGCTTAAATATTCTGTACTCAATGAGAGGATTTGTTCTGTGTGGTCTGCTATATTATGGCTTCATCAGTTGTATCATATTTTAATTGCTTGTGAAGCTTCCTGAGGACTCTAAGGAGCATATTTCAACTGATGATGATTAGCTCCTGAATTAGGAGAACTACACTATGAAATAGCTATGGGTGCTTCTAATGTTAGCTGTGTGTAGAAAGCTTTGATGGTTAACTGAATTACTTGATTTTTAAACCAGCATTTAGTTCTGGTCATTTTTGTATCGGGTTTATATTGTTTCTTTTCTTCTAGGATCTCCTTTGAAGAACACTGTTTTAATCACAAGAGGACTCAAACTCCTTTACAGCAATACATTATTGTACAGGAATGTGAGTGTCCATTTTAATCTTATGCTTCTATAGTGAATGTCATGTTTCTGTACGCTTCCAGAACAGACCTTTAACGGCCTCTTGTTCTGACTTTGTTTCAGCTTTCCCCACAACTTCAGTGCTTTTTACATTCTTGCAAGTGTTGTGAAAATATAATTCATGCCCCACGCTTTGCAGTCATTATCTCTGTTCTGTAGTTGGGGAAACTGAGGCAATGAAGAGCAGTGATTTGCCCAAAATGCTGCCATAGTCTGTGGCAAACTTGGGAGTTCCTGGCACATCAGCCCCGCAGATCAGGCCATGGCACCATGCTGCCCCTCCGTTGATGAAGAGGGAGCTGTCACGCTATGCGAATGGTTGGCTGATTGAACTGGAACCTTGCTGGCTTAATTTTGGCAAATGTCACCTTGCGTGTTGTCTAGTTTTACACTGATTTAATTGAACCACTCTGCCCTGACCTAGACGCATGTAAATACAATTATCCTGCTTGAATGTGTGCAGCCTGCTGGGCAGATCCTCAGCTGATGCAAGGTATCAGAGCTTCACTGGTGTTGATGTCAGTGGAGCTATGATAGATTACCCCAGGAGAGGAGCTACCCCTGAACCTTCGGGAAGTACTGTGTTGAAGCGGAAACATAAGATACTGGGGGAGATATTGGCTCTTTTCCTCTGAGACAAAATGAGGATGGTGCTTTCACCAGTCTGAGAGGAGGAATGATGATTAGCCCCATGTGCATTGACTGTGACAATGAAAGTTATGCATTGGGCATGGCATTTATTGGAAATATTAGTGTTGTAGCTTCCCTTACAATCCTCCTCTAATGGGCAGTCCAGATGTTACCATTTTGTCATCAGTACTTTGGGATCCCACAAGAAAAGGTACACATCGGTATGCCTCATTTACTCACCTTTTGTAGTAGGCAGTACAAAAGAGGGTAGCCTTTTTGCAGATTTATATGGTGCATTGCCTGTCAAGGGGACTTTTTATCATAAGTATTATGCTTCGTGTTATGTTAGGTATGTTTATTTGTGATGACATTTACCTTGCTCTGTCCAATTGGACCAAAAACTGTTTTGAAGAACTTTGTGCTTTTTGCTAAGTGGAAGCCTTGCTGTATTTCAGCCAAAATGCTGGAGCACCTTCATCATGGTTCTGGGTAGCGGCACTACACTGGAGAAGAGTGGACATTTAATTCCTCTCTCGCTGAAAGAGCCACCACTTGACTTTCAAGAGGTAACTGGAAGAGCATTCTGAGATGCAGAAACTGATGCCCTGCTTTTGAGTATCACATTTTTTCAACTCGGGAATCAACTTGTGTTGGAATATGAGCTCACTTTATAATACACCCTTAAATAATGTCATTGCGTGTGTCAGGTTAACATTTTTAGGGGCAAGGTCTTAACATCATCCTATGAAATTGGCAGCAGCTTTTTCACTGCTTTTGGATGAAGTGCGGGCACAGATGGCAGTTAAAATGTGGATAATTGAAAACTGTTAGTGAATCTCCTGTGGCCTAGAGTAAGTTTAGTGGTTGTAGGCTGCCACGAGACTTGTTTCTTTTGGCCCTGAGATGCAGGAGCTCATTTGACTATCTGATAATTATATAGAGGTGCTAAATGTCAGGATGAGCAAATTAACTGTTCTCACAGCTGAACGCTTGAGACCTGATTCCAGATCTGTTAAGTTTGAGAAATTACAAAATAAATAGAGGAGGGATTTGGTTTCCTCTATTAAGGAGGTGCTCTGTGCTGGCCTTGAAGAGCTACTATTTGGGCAGTTGTGTATCTCCAGTGAAAATGTCTACTAAGCACAGCAAGCCTAAATTGCTTTAAAATACATCTAGGGAGACTGCTGAACAGAATCTGTCACATAATTCAATGAGTGCCATAGACCTACAGCATTTCTAGGGTTATACTTTGGACAGTCCACACTTCATGTGTCGAAGTGGCACCAAGGACACTAAAACACCACATGTCAAAGAGTTGTCTTGGACAGTATTAGATACTTGTCTATCTGGGCCCTCTCTTGCTCCATCTGACTCACTGTTTCCTTTTGCAGAAGGTGGTCTCTGTGTGTTATGGCCTTCTGAATGAGCTGAAGACCAAAGTCAATGTTTCTCTGCCGTGTAATTTTTTCTCTAATTCTGTAAGTATGTTTGGGATAATGAGGGGGGCGGGGACTGACTCTTGGACTCTAAATTGCACTGTAGGACATCAAAATGATTTTTGTCTTATTGAAATGCTTTTACAGAGAAGCTGGAAACGTATTAGAAAATGGCATAAATTTAGCGATTAGAGAAGCAGGGACTGGGATTCAAAACTCCTCTATTCTTGTCCACTGGCCATGACCCTGGCTGCATCTTAATGTCTCGCTGCCCAGAATTACCCTTGTATGAAATAGAGGCTGAACAGACAACCATTTCCATAGGCAAATTAATTGACCAGGCAGGTAAATGTGTCTGGAGCCAAAATAGTGACCGTTTAGTTATGCTGATGTTTGCCTCCACAGAAGCAAGCACATGTTTCCAGTGAACATCCCCTATAGATATAAAACATCTGGGATTTCTCTAGATTTGAAATATGAATTCAAGCACTGTGGGATACCTTTCAGATAGTAATTTGAGGTTAAGTATTCACATCTGTGCAAGTGAGATTCTCTCTTCAGGGGGCAGAGACTTGTACGCAGTGCTGTGTTAGTTGCAACTGACTCGAGTGAAAGTTATTCACCTGTAATTAGGATGTGTTCAGTTTTCTAAAGAGGCCAATTAATGGTGCTCCTTGTATTTCTTCTGAGGAAATCATGTTTAACTTACTTTCTAATTATGTAACTTCATGAGCCAGGATTATTTTTGGCCTACGTAAGGCGAATTCTATTTCACGGTGAGAATGCAAGACTCTATGAAGCATTTGGAGTGCTTCGGCTGAAAGATGCCACACGCTTGCAGCATTTGCTCTGTTCCCCTTCCTGCACGTGATGTCCATCACTAAATTCTTCTGTTCTTACGATACTTGTAACCAGCTGTTCCTGCAGTTGGCCAGTTGCGGAGCTCTGAAATTCACTGTGCAAGGCACTCCCAGGTCAGAGTGACCACAGTTAGCACCTGATTTAAGTAGATGTAGCTAAGGACATATCAGGTATAAAGCCGGGGAGAAATTTTCTCTCAATGTTTCAACTTCTGTTTTTTATTTGTGCCCTCAGTTCTGCCTTGAGGCTGGTCTGATTCTCTTGGTGCAAGCAGTGAAGCAGATGATTCTGAGTGACCTTCCGTACTTGAATTCCATTCTAGAAATAATACTAGCATTCGGGGTAAGTCCAAGACATTTGGAGTTTCATTCTAATTGATTAGCGCAAATTACGCTTAAAGTCACTTAGCAGCATGTCAAGCTTCATGATCACACATTTTTTTTTTTGTCTGCTGTCTTTAGTTAAACTTCATGAATGATTTCCTCTCTGATCGTGCTAGTGAAATGAGGTGCTGCATAATGCAGAATTACATCACTTGCCTGCATTTCTCTTGCCTTCCTAGAATAACTTCTGGGCACTGAGGCTATTATTAGACGGTTTCTCCTATGAAGAATCCATTCTCCATGGCACTGTCAATCTGTTTGTCAGAGATCTGAATTGTAGGAAAGACACAATACTGACATTGTAAGTAAGCATTTTGTTCCTGAGGCCCTGCTGCTTTATTATGAAAATACTTAAAGGCCAGAGCTGTGGGATTTCTCTCTCTCAGCAAAGGTCTAACTAGTAATTGTCTACATTAAATTGCTCTTATAATTAATCCACTAATTGTCAGCAAGGCCTGGCTACTTTATTCATAAAACTGGTCTGAATGGATTATCATTTAAGATACTTAACATCTGTGTGAGACAAAAGTTTTACTTCCTAGGTTGCTGGTTTAAATTAGTCTTCTAAACAGTTGTACCTTTATGACCTCTGTGTAGCTTCCTTGCCTGAACTGATGAGACAGAGCCATGTACCCTTGTTTCCCATGTGGCACTTGTGCAATGAGTTCAGAGTCCCTTAATATACTCTAACAGGTGTTTAGAGCACACACCCTTTTACACATGTGCATACACGTGGAGTATCTGCGTGCTCCCACCTGAAGTGAACAAGTGATGTCTGAGATGACTATGTCCGATGTACAGATTTTGAACGGTTTTATTTGTTTTTTATGTCTTTTGATCTTACTCAGAGTTTACTATAGAAATTGGTATCCCTCTTTAAGAAGTAATCATTTTGGATCCCATCTTGGGCAGTGTCTAGGTGATAGTGGTGACCTATAAAACATCTGAAAGTAGTTTTTGATGATTAGAAGCTCTTCTGGGCCTTGTGTCAGCCAGCAGGTTACAAAAAATGCAGATAGGAGGAGTAGTTCAGGGTGCAAATATATATTCTGGGGGGTCCTTGCCTTGGGTATACCAAGGGTTGGAAGTTTCAGGTGGATCTGCAGTTGGTCTGTGTTTAGGGTGAGATGTTTCTGATTCAAGACTGGGTGAGGTACAAGACAATTGCCTCTGAGCCAGTTGCACATGTCCCTCCTTAGAGCTTGGTAACGTGTTGTCACCTACTTCTTGGTTCTCTTATACTGAACAGGGGGCAAACCGTTGGTCCTCAATATGTGGGTGCTTTGCTCTGTGAATTTCTGACTTGCACCAACGTGAAGATGCAATCCATTGGTGTCTTCATTATCCAGATTATAACAGAGAAATTACATATGTAAGTATGAATATTCATAGTCTATTATTAAGCTATTTTAAGGATTATAACAGTGCTGATTGCACAAAATAGCTGATGCTTCTGCTGTGATTGATGAAGTCTTTAGTTATGGGTTCCCAGTTTGTTTTATCCTTGCTGTTATAGGCAGTGATGAGACGATGCGTTTAGAGTACTACAGTTTGGTTGTATGCTGACTTTAATGTTTCCTTGACAAACTGTATTCTCTAATGGGACCCACTGATGCTTTCCCTTCCCCTTGCTCTCTCTTACAAGCAGAACTTGTAGTTTGTCTTTGCAAACATGACTAATAACCAGGGTAAGTCGCCTGTTTTCTTGTTTACCTTGAGAAAACAAATGGGTTTTCCTTCCCAAAGGAAAAGTGCATTTTCTAGTACTGGAAATCACAGATTGGTTTTAAATCAATAAACTCAACTTTAATAGTAAAAGCATTACTGCATTCCTAAGATTTAAGACTGCATAAACATCTGGTTGTGAAATACCACGTCTGTGCATCAAAAATATGTATGTATTATTGAATGAAAAAAATTGAAACCTGTCCCTAAATAGTAGGGATGAACAGAAACGGTAGTGTGGGGGTTAACGCAGCCATTGCTCAAGCCTTCTACCCCTCCGGCTATCAACATGCATCCGTAATGGGTCTTCACAGAATCATAGAAAATTCGGGTTAGAAGGGACCTTAGGAGGTCAACCCCTTCCTCCAAGCAGGACCAACCCCAACTAGATCATATCCTGAATTACAGCAGCAGGCCCTGCCTCCATATTCCCCTCTCAGGGCCCTGCAGACTAGATGATGCAGCTCCATGAGCCAGATGTTTGGTACCCCTGAGTTAAAGGGTTTGGAAATGCCAATTTGCAGGCAAATTTTAATTATCAAGCGGCTGAAATAAGAGGAAAAGCTTTCCATATCTCGGAAGTGGACTGAGACCTAGATCTCTTTTCAGGTGTCCATGGGCGAAGCAGCTTTTCAACGTCTTTGTAAATAAAGTAAGTAGCTTTGTATGTCAGGGGGCAGGCTCTAGTATTGTTGATCAGGCCTTTACATTTGTCCTCAGGTTTTTTTTATTCCTTGCCTGGAAATAGGAGAAATAAAATGGTTGATTTTAATATTTTAGTTGAAGCTAGCAAGGCTGTGATGGCACCTCCACAAAGGTGTGAGGATGAAGAGGGCACACAGAGTATCTAGTCAAGCAGCTCAATAGTCACTGGGCTAGGGGAGGGCAGGTCTTTTGGGAGGGACTGGTTAACTGTGTTATCTCCTCATGGGAGGTGGCTTTAACAAGTGAGGACCCTCCATAGCAAGTTGAGAAGTGAGGCCGTCTTTTGTGGGGAGGGGACGGGCAATAAATTGATTTGAGGTCCTTGATGAAACCTTCTAAACTGTTCTCTATACAGGGACTGAGGACTTTGCCTCTCGGCCCACCAGTTGACGGTGAAGTTGCCAAGTTCATGGCCGTTTTGGAAAGCCTGTAATATATTTCCTAAGGAAAAGCAAACAGCTTCTACTTCGAGGTGCAAAGGCATTTGTCGACTTGTCTCAAAGCACCTCCGGCGGCGCACACCCGCCAGGTTCAGTGGAGTTCTGCTTGCATGCCTCTTCCCCCTCCTCGGTAAAAATGATCGGCTTTAACGGCTGTCTTGCGAACAGATTCTGAAAGGACCGATCCAGGTCTAGAGCCTGGGCATCAAACGGAAGAGATCCTTCAGCAAATCTCACGTAACAATCCCCGGTCTTCCAGACACAGGAATTAGCAGTTCTTTTCAGTTTGCTTTTTATTTTCTTGCGGTTGAGGTATACCCGCTTTAACAGGAGTTGAATATCTTGGGGTAGAAAGAGTGACAAATGTATCCTCCCTTATGAAGTGGAATGTGTGCGCTGATATTTGAATGTCAAATCAGCAGTTCAGTACTTGCCGAGAAAGCAAAAGGTTCTTGGATAAGGGAAACAGCAGACTGATGGACGTCTGACAATACACAGCGGTGGTAGTAATGTATGGAACTCCTCTTGTATATAGCGTTGAACTGTGACAGTGAACCACTTTTAGCTTTGTATCGTCACCCTCCACTTTCCAAGATTTGTTCAAACAATCAGACAAATTTATTGTACTTTGAAGCAGTAAATAGTTGACAAGGAGAGAATTATTTTTCAGATTTTCCAGACTCTGGACTTCATTTTCATCTTTTACAACTGGGTTGCAGTTGACAGCTGTTAACCTGGTACTACTCCCTCTCTGGGTGACTTGCGCTGCTGTCATAATTTTCATTTGAACAGTTGATTTCTGAACTATACTAACAGAAAGGTGACTAAGGACTAAAGAGCAATCTAGCTACACTCACCTTTCAGCGTTGGATGTGGAGGGGGAAGAATTTTAATGTTGTGTGTTGTACTTTGCACATTTTAGGCTTGCAATGATTCTTATCTCAAGTTCAGCTAAATTATTCTTTACAAAAATGTCTTTGTTTTGTATTAAAAATGTGAATGCACACCTGCCAACTTTTTATAAGTGCTAAAACAACTCTTGTGGCATCCTTCTCTGCTGCTCATCTCTTTAAATAAAAGGAGTTGCTTATGGAGCATCCCACTGTAAGGTCACGTAGAAGAAAGAAGAGAGAGGTCACTGGAGATCCCTTCTCTCAAACGTGCTTGAATCCTGATGTTCTTTTTGCTCCGCTATTCCAGGCCTTCTGCTTTTGAGCAGAGATGGCCTCTTGGCATCTCATTCAATCTTGCAAGACATGTACCATAGCACCACAAGCCTCACCTTAGTCCTGTTGCCAGAGAAGGCCATCCTAACATCTTTCCAAGAAACGAAAACACCCCGCACTCATCCGAAGACATTTGCTGGGAGGAGCAGACAGCCAGGTCTGACCGCTCACGTAGGTTCCTGGCTGTATTACAGGACCTTCGCCTTATCAAGGAGGTGCACAGCCCCACTAGGGATAACGCCTTGCTGGACCTGGTCCTGGCCACGGGGGATGACTTGGTGAGGGGACTGCAGGTCCTTGACCAGCTGGGCAATAGCGATCATCGCCTGCTCGAATTCACTATTCACCTTACAGCAAGACTAAAGCCCTTGACTTCAGAAGGGCCAACTTCAATGAGCTTCGAAGATTAGTGGGGGAGGCACCGAGGGCCCAGAAGGTAGAGAAGATGGGATCCCACGAGGGATGGTCGTATCTTAAGGGGGGCGATCCTCCAGGCCCAAAGGGTAACAGTCCCTGAGAGAAGCAAGGCGGGTAAGAGTGCTCAGAAACCCCCTTGGCTCAGCAAGGGCATTCAGCAATCCCTGAGGACCAAAAGGCGTGCAACCAGTGAAAGGGAGGAGCTGTCACCAAGGAGGAGTACTCCTCCTCGGCCCGGGAGTGTAGGAGGGCTATTAGGAAGGCCGAGGCAGAGATGGAGCTCAGGCAAGCGTCCAGGATTAAGGACAACAAAAAGTCCTTTTTCAAGTACATTGGGAGCAAGAAGAGGGCACCAGGCAATGTAGGGCCCCTGCAAAACAAGACCTTGTGGCTATGCCAGATGAGAGCCTATATTTTTAACAGTTTCTTTGCCTCTGTTTTCTTGAACAGGGACCGGGACATCCCTCCTACCAGAGGTAGGGACAGTCTCGGGGATAGCTCTGTCAGGCCTTCAGTCAGCGCAGAGGTAGTTAGGGATCTTCTGGAAGGGCTGGACATATTTAAATCTGCAGGTCCAGATGCCCTCCACCCAAGGGCGTTGAGGGAGCTGGCAGGGGTCATTGCGGAGCCCTTGGCCTGGCTGTATGAGCGTTCGTGGTCATCTGGCCAGGTGCCGGGGGATTGGAAACTGG